TGTGATCAGCTCCTTCTCAGCTCTAACGTCACACCTCCTCAGAGAGGCCCTCCCTGACCACCCTGGCTAAAGTAAGCCCCGCCCCACCCCATCCCCCTGTTCATTTCCTTTACAGCACTTACCACCCCTTTAAGTCATCACCTTCGCATAATCCTTTCCTTGTTTACATCCGTCCGGCCCCTCCCCCATGCTAGGGCAGGGGCCCTGTGTCCCCAGTGCAGTGTGGGCATCACCAAATATTTGTGGAATGAACGGAGAATTGAAAGACTGGAAAAAGAATGTGGCTTATAGGCCACAGAGATAAGTGACTCCGTCATGTGCTAGCTGCGTGACCGGACCGGTTAACTTCTGAGCCACGGCAGAATCAGTTGTGAGTGGGGGCAATGATCCCTCACCCAGGGGCCTGTTGGGAGGGCCGGGCCGTGTGAGGACCTAGTGTAGCACCTGGCGTGTGTGGCAGGAGGGGACCTCGGGAGCTGTGGTTGCAAGAGCGACAAAGCCTCGTGTGGTATCTGGGATGGAGCTGGGTGTTAAATATCCACGAGGAGTTGTGGGAGTTTATGCATATGGCACGTGAAAGAATGGAAAACCCCATCGAATAGGAAGCAAACGTATGTTCGTATCTTGGGGTCCCACAGAAATGAGCAGGAGTGGGGAGTGGGCGAGAAACAGGCAAGAGGGAAAGGCGGAGCCGGATGATGTGCAGGGTGGCGGTGGGAGGGGGGCCCTTCCTGCCGCACATCTGCATGCTCCTCCTGACCCTCCGCTCACCTCTGCCTGTCCCTGATGGCACAGCCCGGCCTCGTGGTGCCTGCGCCTCCCCCTGCCCTTACCTGGCTTGTCTTCCAGGAGTATGGGGTCGGTGGGCATGGATGGCTGTCCCGGACCCGCTGAATTCACGGCCTGAACCTGGAACCTGTACCTCTTTCCCGCTTGCAAGCCAGAGACCTGGGGGAGGTGGAGGGGTGGGCCAGGGTGAGCACTGAGGACAGCAAAGACTCTCCCTGGGGTGGGGGGCAGGCCAGGAGCACCCCACTCTCCCGAGTCCCAGTCTGCAGTGGGCTCCTGCACTGGGATTACTTCCCATGCCTGTGACACGTGGAATTCTGCCCACTTAACTCATCACCCGCCTCAACAAGAAAGCACCCCATCTCTTCTCCATCCATCACCCCAGAGAGAAGCCTGGGGATCATCTTTGACATCTTTCTCTTGAGCCCTACACTTCTCATCACTGAGTTCACACTTCCCCAACATTTCTTGAACGTGGCTACTCTTCTCCACGTCCCAGCCGTGGCCCTGATTGAGGCTTTATTTCTCCTCACCTGGATTAGTCCAACAGTTCCCCGAATGGTGTCCCTGACTCTAGATCCTTCTTCCCAGACTTCCCCTCTGCCAGTCCTTCCAAGATGCTGGTCTGATCATGCTTAGCATGCTTAGCGCAACATCTTCCTAATCTGGCCCTAGCCTTCTGTGTCTTCTGTGTTCTTGCCGTTCCGTGTGGCCCCTTCACTCCATGACTCCTTCCGGGTGCCCAGAGTCACCTGATCGGTTTCCCGTTTCACGTCTTCCTGCCTTTGTCCTTGCTGAGCCCTGTGCCTGCAAAGCCCTCCCCTTGTTCTTGGTCTAGCCAACGCCAATTCATCCTTGACCACTCAGCTCAGCTCAGGCAGATTTGAGGACTCCAGGAAGGGTCTCTTACCTTCCTCCTTGGAACCCCCAGAATCCCTTTGGGCCTCCCCCTCAATCATACAATACACGGTAAGGTAACTGCTTGCTGCCCAAAGACCGCGGCTTATTTCGCTCTTTACGTCTAGGATCCGGTTCCAGACCTGGCACTAAGAAGGCACCAAGAGGTGTTCAGTAAACGGCCAACCACCCACAATGCAAAAATGGTGCCAAGTCACCAGGGCCTGCCCAGCCTGGCCTGGGCCAAGCTACGTGGGGAGGCAGAAGGACCGTCCCTCTCGTGTGGCTCTCTGGGACCAGCTGTTCGGTGCTGGCCGACTCTACTGCAGGGGGCCTGACCCCGTGGGGCAGAAACTGCAGAATCGCAGAGCATTCCACTGGCCAAGGCCTGTCCTCCCCGCTCGTTTCCAGTGGCCTTATGGTTATTGTTTCAAAATGAAAGGTTTTAACTGTTTTGATTCTAAAAGAAAGACACACTAGCTGGGAAAATATTAAAGCAATAGAGAAGAATGTAAAATGAAGGGTTAAGCTCTCCTGGCAGTCCCACCCCCACAGACGACCAGAAATAACAATTTTTTTTTTTCCCCAAAACAAATCTGGCTTTACTTTCCAGCGGAAGCCGATCCTAGATCTAACACTGCACAAGGTTTCTTGGACGATGACCAGAGAAGTCCCTTTACACTGCCTCGCTTTGCCAGAGAATCCCCGTGGAAGGCTTCGCCAATCTGCATGTTGTCCTCGTGCTGGGACCATTGCTCATCTTCTCTGATGGTCCCAATTTTAGTATAGGTGCTGCCGAAGCGAGCACCAGAAATAACAATTCTGTAACACTCCATTTGGGCTTTGAAATGCACATAAACCATGTAGAAACACGACAGGCGCCACGTTTGTTAGTTTCGCATTCTTTCCACATTGTTTGGGGCATCATGAACGTGCCTTCCTCTCTCTTGGTGCTAACTGATGGGACGCTAATGTGTGGTCTTGAAAAGTGAGTTGGGGAAGACACATTCCTCCTTTCCCTAGAGCTCCAGAAAATAGAATCTAGTCCACGTCACAGGACTATCCTCACAAATGTTCCTCAAACACAGGAGGCCCCGGGGGGACTTGGTGGCTGCAGAGATGGGCGCTGGGTGTGTGGAAACAGCCTCAGGCACCGGGAAGTCTGGGATTCTGACGGATTGTCTAAGGCAGTGATTTGTGCCCACTGAGAACGCTTCCTTGACACTTTGTTTTCTGGCCTGTCCAATATTGGCCAGTTGGTGGAAGTTCCAATGACCATCACAGGTGAATAAAACCAATGATTCTGCTAGATTTCTTATTTATCCAAAAAGTTTAGAGTTTGTTTCTCATTTAAATTAGGAAATACTGGGGCGCCTGGGTGGCTCAGTCGGCTAGGCATCCCACTTTGGCTTAGGTCATGATCTTGCGGTCTGTGGGTTCGAGGCCTGCCTCGGGCTCTGTGCTGACAGCTCAGAAGCCTGGAGCCTGCTTTGGATGCTGTGTCTCCTTCTCTCTGCCCCTCCCCCATGTGCACTCTGTCTAAGAAAAATAAACATTAAAAAAAAAGAGAAATATATATCTATGTATATGTTTGTTAATGTATAATATTATATATATACATAGTATGTTATCAAACATATAAATATTCTACTTTGTATTCTGCTTTTCTTAGCCACAGATGATGGATCTATTTTCATGTCTGTACATACATGTAGGTACACCTCATTTTTTGTACTATTGTCACTCCTTAAACTATCATCGCCTTTCAACTACCTGGCACAGGATTACACGCTAAGGATACACTGATTGATTTAAGCAAACCCCCTACCAATGGACATTTAAGTTGTTTCCAACTTTTGCCTGTATAGGTCTTTGTGCACTTGCTTAATTATTTCTCTGCAATCCAATCCCAGGGCAGAATTCCTGGCTCAAGGGAAAAGGCCTATCCAATGCTGACATACCTGGATGACTGTGAGTGAGGGTTTAGGGAGGAGTCTGCCCAGCTTGGAGCAGTTTAAGGCAACCGGCCAGCGGGTCAGACTGCCAACTTGCTGTGTGACCCTGGGTATGCGACTCCCCATCTCTGGTCCTGTGCTGACATTAAGTGAGAGCAGTGATCTCTGAGGGTCATCCCAGCTCCGGTGTTCTGTAGTCCTGCTATGTTCAGTGGCAGGGAAGGCTCGGGGTGGGGCAGGGGGTGAAGGGGCAGGGGACTCACCCTCAGGTGGGTGCCAGAGATGCGGTCTGGGGTGACTGGCTGCCACTGTTCAGAGCCTTCTTCCTGGACACTGACGAGGTAGCCTGTGACCGGCCCAGCCCCGGTGTAAAGGGGGGGCTCCCACTTCAGCATCAGGGAGGTGGCCCGCACCTCGAACGCCTGCACGTCATACGGGGGGCCTGTGGGAGGTGGGGTAGAGGAGGAGTCGGCCAGCCAGCCAGCTAGGCAGCGAGCCGGTAGATCTGTCATCAACCTTGTCAATCTGGAAGCGTCTGCTCTGGGCATAGTGGGGACCTGGTAGGACTTGGCTTCATGACAAACTTGGTCTTGGTCTGGGCCCGAGAGAGCGTTAACTTTTCAAAATGTGCTCAGCATCACTTCTTCCGGAAGCATCCACGATCTTCTCCCTCCCTATCCCAGGCAGCAGTAACCCTTCTAATGTCTTTGCTATTTCAATGATTAGTGTAGGGGCTACGGCATGACCCCCAGAGTCAGATCCCCGGGGTTCGGGCCCCAGCTTCAGGCTTTGGGGCCTCTGCTCAAGTTCCTCAACCCCTATGTTCCTGTCTCCTCATCTATAAAATACAGATAATGGTAATTATTATAATCTAGTGTTGCTGTGAGCATGAATGGCATGACTTGTGGGATCTGTCCACACATGGTAAGTACCCAATAAATATCAGTTGTTCATAATTACTGTCTAAAGCATCACGCATACTAATTATCTACCATTTAGTTAAAAATAAAAACCAGCACTGAGCTGAACAGCATGATGGAAGGTTGTGATCCTTCCTTCTTGGGGAGGAGGTGGGGGCTCATCTGAGAGAAAGTTAACGGGGTTGTGGGGAACGGCGTGCAGGGTGTCAGTCACCTTAACAGCGTGCTTCTGGGGTCTGACACTGGCCTGCGGCCAAAATCAGAGCTCAGATGGTGTGCTGAGCTAGGGGATAGTTTATGCGGAGGGTGCAGAGCCAGTTGATGGCCAAGGTCAGGGGTCCTCTAAGGTAAGGTTAAGACTGTCTGTGTCAGAGATTATAGGGTTTGTTGGTGGAAGGGACCAGGGGTCTGAGGTCTGGGGCCAACAGAGCAAGCTTGGATGCACAGAAAGCTTGGTGACACCCATCCCATCTACTGGTTGGATTTGGGGGACGGGGTGAAGGCAGGTGCTGGGCTTCGGCATCTTTAGACCCCTCACCTGGTTGGGGCATCGTCCACTCTTTGCACTCAAACAGGCTGCTGGGCGCCGACAGCTCGCCAACACCTGCCCAGTTTGCCGCCCGGGCACGGAACTCGTAGAAGTGGCCTTCACGAAGGTTACTGATCTTGAAGAGCAGAAACAGACAGTGAAAGCCAAGGCTGAGGCAAAAGGGAAAGGGGTGTGGCAGGGGCAGCACGGAGGTCAGAGCAGGAAGTCCCTGGGGCCTTAAACAAGGTTGGTCAAGTGAGTCTGCATTTGAAAATTAGCCAGATTATTGAGTCCAGGGAACCTGAGGCCTTCTTGGCTTCAGGAGCTCTAACAGTGACCTCTGGTCTCCACCTGCACAGGCCAGGACACGAGGCGGTGGCCACATTCCAGGCTTACCTTGCAGACCCGGGTGGGGATGGGCTGCTGGTTGACCGGGTGCCAGTCCAGCTCCTCTGAGTCGTGCTGGTCCAGGAAGTAGCCCAGGATCTTGCCGCCTCCACGACGCTTGGGGGGCTTCCACCCAATGACCATGTCATTTTTCCCACAGCTCAGGAGCGCGAAATCATATGGGGCAGATGGCGTGGCTACAGGGAGGAGGGAGGTGAGGACAGCCGCTTCCTTAGGGGCGGCCACATTGGGCAGTGGGGCCCGAGGGAGCCAACATGCGTCCTCCAGTGGATGCCCACCTTGCTTTGGGGTACTAATTTAGCCAACAGCATTTGCCGGTAATCCCGACTCCACTCCCTAGAGGGCAGCTGGGCCTCAGAGCTGGTGAGACCTTTGCCCCATAGCCTCAGGCCATTGTCATTTCCTCCCCAAAGGAAAGGCAGGGAGGTGCTGGGGGGGGGGGGGGGGGGTCAGCTTTAGTTCCCCTCAGAGGACTTATGCCCCCTTGGTCTCTGGGACTAGACCCTCCAAGATGTGGTCGATAAGCCCCCACTCTCTGCCCCACCCAGGGCTGCCCCCAGGAGACATGCAGACTGGACCTGCCCTTTGGACTTACCCAGAGCCTGCTTGACCCTGATGGGTTCGGTGGTCGCTGAGCTCTCACCTACCCCAGCCTCGCTGACTGATCGGACACAAAACTCGTACTGTTTCCCCGTCCTCAGCCCAGGGACCGTAAACCTGGAAGAGAAATGTGTAAGCTTTCAGGGAGGGTCAAACAACTTGCAGATGTCCTCAACTTTCTAGAACAATCTTGTGGGCTAAGTGGCCACCAGAGGTAGGAGTTGAGGTTTTGGGCCAGTTCTTTGTTTGTTTGTTTTTTTTTTAATTTTTTAAAGTTTATTTTATTTTATTAAAAAATTTTTTTCAATGTTTATTTTTGAGAGAGAGAGAGAGAGACAGAGTGTGAATGGGGGAAAGGCAGAGAGAGAGGGAGACACAGAAGCTAAAACAGTCTCCTGGCTCTGAGCTGTCAGCACAGAGCCTAACGCGGGGCTTGAACTCACGAACTGTGACATCATGACCTGAGCCAAAGTTGGACGCTTAACTGACTGAGTCATCCAGGTGCCCCTTAAGCATATTTTTTATTGATTTTGAGAGAGAGGCAGAGAGAGCGAGTGGGAGGGGGTAGAGAGAGAGGGAGAGAAAGGATCCCAAATAGGCTCCGCACTGTTAGCACAGAGCCCAATGCAGGGCTCGAACCCATGGATCGTGAGATCATGACCTGAGCCGAAATCAAGAGTCAGACGCTTAACTTACTGAGCCACCCCGGCCCCCCTAGGGCCAGTTCATGCCTAAAGATTATTGCCTCTGCCTCCAGAGTGATGCCCGCACCCTGGATGGTGAGTTATTAAGATTTTTAAAGGTTGGAGGAAGGTGGTCAAAAGGTACAAACTTCCAGTTATAAAGTAAATCAGTACTCGGGATGTAATACACAATGTGGGGACCACAGTTATTACCACTGTGTGATATACAGGAAAGTTGTTAAGAGAGTAGGTCCTAAGAGTTCTCATCACAACGAGAAAAATGATTTTTCTTTTTATTGTACCTATAGAAGATGATGGATGTTAACTAAGCCTATGGTGGCAATCATTTCATAACATACGTAAATCAAACCACCATGCTGTCTACCTTGAACTTACACAGACAGTCACGTATGTCTATTATCTCTCGATAAAACTGGGGAAAAAAAAGATGTTAAAGGGTGTGGCTCTTCCAGAGTCCACCATTAAAATGCAGATATGCTGGGAAAGCTACCCCCCGAAGGCCCAGGCAGCCAACCCCTGAACTGTGCTATCTGGTGTATGTCCAGGACTTTGGGCCTCGTCCTTGAAATACAGCAGTGGTTCATATTATCTGCATGGATTCTGTGATTCTAAAACACAGAATCCTTTCAAAGACCCAGAAAGAGGGGCGCCTGGGTGGCGCAGTCGGTTAAGCGTCCGACTTCAGCCAGGTCACGATCTCGCGCTCCCTGAGTTCGAGCCCCGCGTCGGGCTCTGGGCTGATGGCTCAGAGCCTGGAGCCTGTTTCCGATTCTGTGTCTCCCTCTCTCTCTGCCCCTCCCCCGTTCATGCTCTGTCTCTCTCTGTCCCAAAAAAAAATAAATAAAAAAACGTTGAAAAAAAAAAAAAAAATTCAAAGACCCAGAAAGAGAATTGTCATCCAGAGACATACATCCAGAGACACTCTGGTTTAGACAAAAATGCCCCTTCCTGATAAAACCCAAATGGCAGACCCCTTTTTCTCTCTTTCCACTTATCGACAGTTTCCTGTAGCAAATCTTGCTCTACAGGGAGCTTCTCTCAGCCAGCTGTCCCGGATGAGACCTGAGGACCTCAGTCAAGTGTTGACAGCTGACACAGCAGTAAGTTCCCTGCTCAGGGACATGCATGTCTCATGGGGAGCACACCTCAATGAGAGGGATGGAGCATGGAGGGGGGGATGTTGCTCAGGGAGCACCTGGTCAGGGGAGGCTGGGGGTGGCTCCCAGGACCAGCCCCTGCTGACAACAGATGGTGACCATGACAGCAATGACGGCAGCCACGCCCTGGCTTTCCCTATAATCTACGTAATCGCAGGCTCTTGTCACAGCACCCTCAGAAGAAGGTACTGTTGTTACCCCTGTTTTGGAGGTACGGATGAAGTTGAATGTCGGAAAGCGGAGGGGCCCTTACGGATCAAAGGGTCCAATTTCTGCACTTTCCCGGTGGGGAGGGCCTCCCCCAGAAGGAAAGAGGAGAGCCAAGGGCACCCGGCCAATTAGAAACACCACCTGGACCATAGCCCAGGCCTCCTGAGTCCCAGAGCAGAGCCTGCCCATTCGTTAGTCATCCGTTAGGACATTCAGACACGGAGCATACAATGAGCCGGGTTCTGTGGGGCCCGGCGGTATGGCAGACCGGACCCCCACAGTCCAGCGGGGCTCCCTTTATGCCATCACACAAGGCAGCTACTCCTGGGTAGTGGTGGTTAGCCTCTTTCCAGCCATGACATATGTAACCGTCAGCACGCACACGTGTGATGAGTTCTCTGGACGTTCCAGAAGAGTGTGCCACTCCTCATGTGTGACGTGTGTCGCAGATGTGTCAATACCTTGAGTAACTCTCTCACCACCCTTGCCTCCCCTCAGGGAAGCACATCAAATGCAAGTTGAAGGAGAGATATTATTCTAGGGACAACCTGGTCACATTTGTCAAAATTTGTCAAAAATCTGATGGTTCTCCAACTTGGGAAGTTTTAGCCATAACGAATTATGAGTGACCCCTCACAGCTGACCACGAGATACCAAAGACTTGTGGGGGTCCCAGGTCCTGTCCCTTTTTCTGGGTAAGATAATCAAGGGGCTGGTGGCCAAGGGGAGCCCAGCCAGGTGTGCTCAGGGCCCCCAGGCAGTCATCTGATGGAAACGGAGGGGAGCCCCTGACCCCACAGAACCTCAAAACCGACAGAAGTCAGGAGCCCAGAAGCTTCGAGGTTCACTGTGACTGCCAGGACCAGGGCCACCGAGTGAGGAGGGAGCCTCCGCGGAGAGGAGAGTCTGGTCCTACCTGCCCAGATGACGGATGAGGAACCCAGCCTCAGAAGAACGTACGGGTACCCATGCCCGAGCACCAGGCAAGGGAGGGGTGCGTGCAGAATCCGAACCCAGGCCTCCCGGGCTGCACCCTCTGCCTCTCTCTGTCTCTAAGCTCCCGGACAGACGAGACCCAGTCCGTCACCTCTGCAGGCAGCAAGCCCTCAGCCAGCGTTTGCTGAGTAAGAGCCCATCCGGTCAAGTTCCAGTTTTCCACTACTAGCTAAGGGACTTTGACAAGTTACTTAAGAGCTCTATGCCTGAGTTTCTTCATCTGCATAGTGATGAGAAAAACAACAGTCCTAAACTCAGAGCATTGCTGTTAGAATGAACTGACCTAATATAGGAAAAGAGCTTGGAATAGTGCCCAGCGCCCAGTGCCATATTGTGAAACGGCAGGTGCCACGGTCCTTATGGCCCCTCCTTGCAGGAAGGCTGGGGCAAACTCACTTGTTGCCCTGGATGGGTTTGTTGTTAACTGTTTGCCACTCAGATGATCCTGCTTCCCGGGAGTAGATGTAATAGCCCAGGAGCTCTGGGTGGCCTTTCACCGGGTCCCAGGTCAGGGACACAGAGGTCTGCGTGTCTCGGAACGCTTGAACTTGAGCTGGAGGAGGCAGAGTAGCTAAAAAACAGAAACGTGGGTGATGTGATGCTGCGGGGGAGGGGAGGGATGTGGGGAAAGGCTGGGAGGAGCCCCCACCACAATCAAGAGTGGCAGGGGGGTGGCAGTCATGCCCTGGGGCTTTGGGTATTCCCTCCTGGGCCCAGGGGCAGCCCCAGACTATTATTCTCAAGTTCCCTCCCTCTTACCTCCGAACATCTCTGCTTCCTCATGAAAGCCTCCATTCATTAATCCTTAGTCTCCGTTCCCTCCCTCCCTCACCACTGTCTCTCTTTGGCGTGTGTGTGTGTGTGTGTGTGTGTGTGTGTGTCTTCTCATTTGGTATAATAATTTAACTTTTACAATACAGACAAATGCTTTTTTTTCTTCCTCCCTTCCCTCCCCCCTCCCCTCTTTTTCTCTCCTCGCCTTTTCTGAACTATACAGGAACTTTGCCCTGACACTGCCTTCTGGTCCAGAGACTGCTCACATCTGATCACAAACCGCTCACTGGCCAGACTCTGAATCATGTCTACATGTTACCTGGGCCACGACTAAAGAAAAACACCACTTGTCCACCAATCCATCCATACTTGCTATGAGTGTGTGTGTGTGTGTGTGTGTATACACGTATATATATATATATATATACTTCCTAACTTAGTGAAACAGATCAAATCTAGGACTTTGCTATCTTCCCCAAAGGGGCCCTGCAGCACTTCAGGCTTTTATTGGATAGGGCGTGCTGCGGCTGGGTTCCTTAAAGGGCTAGTCAGTCGCGACAGCTGCAGGGAACCTTCTGATCTTATCAAAACCAAAGAACCCCAGAATCCGGGGGCCTCAGAAGAGGGAGGGGCCCTGCGAGGTTGGGACCAGGATGGAGACGCAGCTGGGAGACTCCGAAAGGGGCCGGAGGCGGGAGCGGTACCTAGGCTTTCAGAACACCAGGTTTGGCAGGTGAGGACGCCAAGGCTTGCGGCTAGGAAATGACTTGCCCAGGCCCGTGCTGTGTTGCTGATGAGAGGCGCCCTGCCTGGGGAGCCAGAGCTTGGAGTGGGACAGCGTTAGAACTGAGGGACCACTTGTTCGCACTCAGCTCCTGTGCTGGACCAGCTGGATTCTGCAACCTGTGAATTGCTGATCTGGAAAAAGTCTCCATACTCTCACGAGCTCCCCACCCAGAGAAACGTTGATCCTGATGTTCTGAGATCAGGGCTGAGATCATGCTGCTTGTCAGCTTCGTGATAGGCAGAAGGGGTCAGGGACAGGGAATGGAGCATGGCTTTGTCTCTGCAGCGGTGGAGTCCCCGCTCTGGATGCTGACGGCCTGGCCTGGCTTGGTCTGCCCCCCTCTCCTGCATCACATGGGTACCTGGCTTCCCCTTCAAGGCGATGGGCTCGCTGGGCTCCGATGGATCACTCATGCCATACTGGTTTACTGATCGCACTCTGAAGACATAGGACTTCCCTTTCTCCAGATCCAAAAGGGCGAATCTTGGAGATTTCACAGGAGTTTCTGAGCTGATGGCCTCCCAGGTGCCACTACCTATGACCGACTGTGACAAAGGAAAGAAACCCGCATTAGTTAAGCAGTTGCTTGGGACCGGGCTCTGTGCCCACACAGCTCTCATTAACTTCTAACCCCCGGCCCAGGCTGCCCCTGAACACTGAGTTCTGGATCCCCTATCCCCTCAACATCTCTGCCTGGATGCCTACTGAGCATCTCACCTTCAACATGTCTAGAACTTGCCTCTGGATCTTGCCCCCAAACCCGCCCATATTTGGTTGGTGGGACCCATCCTTCTAATTGCTCAGGCCAAAATCCCTGAAGCCATCCTAGGCTCCTTCCCTCTGACCCTCACGTCCCAAATATGCTCTATCAACAAATTCAGTTGGCTCCCCCTTCAGAATCTATCCAGAAACCAACATGGTGTATCACCTTATTGACCCCTGCTACAGCCTTGATCCAAGCCATCAACATCATCATCATCATCATCACCACCATCATCTCTCACCTGAGCTACGTCACTCTTTTCTCTAAATGACAATCAGAAGGATCCTTTCAGAACACAAGTCAGATCACATCCCCATCTGTCCATCTGACATCTCCCTCAGGGTGGAAGCTTCTTCATGGCCTGACCCTTGCTACCCATCTGGCCACATCCACTTCTCCCTTCCCCCTGAGCCTCCCTGATCTTCCGGATGGCAACAGGCCCAGCTCTTGCCTCTGGGCCTTTGCACTTGCTGGTGTCTTTGCCTGGGATGTTCTTCCCTCCAGAAATCTCTGCTAGTCTCCTCATTTCTTTTAGGCTTTTATTCAAAACTCACCTTCTCAGAGAGGACTCCCCAGCTCCCCATCCAAAAAGTCAGCCAACCCTCCCCCAAATACTTCAACCCCTCTCCCTGCTTTCTGTCTTTCTCCCTAGCACCTACCACTAGTTAATGTGCTAAGTATTTTCCTGATTTATCTTCTTTACCGCCCATCCTGCACCCCCTACTCAAATCTCAGCTCCACGAGCCAGGGGTTTGTCTGTTTTATCCACTGCCAAACCCCCAGGGCCCAGAACAGCACTGGTACATGGGAGGTGCTCAATCTATGTTTGTGGGACCAACAAGTGAGGCAGTGAATACATTCTCACAATAACCCTGCAAGGTACGTGTTAATTTCCCCACCAATGAGAAAACTTGGGTTCAGGGAGTTTCGGTCACTTGACTGAAAGTCACGCATCTAATAACTGGTGTGTCTGAGTGTGGGTGCCTCCAACCTGCTTCCTCTTCACAGCATAAGGCTCCCAAAAGGCAGCCATAGATGCTGCGTCTCTGGGCAGATAGAGGGTGAAGGGCTGAGGGGGGCGGCAGGTGAGTAAGACGCCCAGAGGCCACTACCTCTGGGTATGGCAGTTAAAACCCGGAAGCACTGGGGGAGCTCACTGACTCTGCCCTCTCTGTGCTTTCCCCTCCCAAGGCCCACCTGACTGTCAGTAGTCCAGAACCCAGCTAGGGGAAAGAAAATCACAATAAAAACCAGGCAATGTTGCTGAGCACCTACTGTGAGCCAGGTTCTATTCTAGTCCTCACGTACTTTAATTAATTTGATCCTCATATTGGTTCTCTAAGGTGCGTACGGTTATTAGCTCTCTTTTACGGAAGAAGAAACTGAGGCACAGAGAGACTAACTAACTTGCCCAAGGTCACACAGCTAGTAAGTAACAGAGACCAGATTTGAACCCAGGCAATCTGACCCCAACATTTTAATCATCACATGGCTAGAGCCTCACAAAGCAAGTCCTCAATGATGCATGGCTTTCCTATGTGGGAAAGACAGGATCACCCGTGCGCGTGCAAAGAGAGGCCCATTTGAACAACCCGAACTTTCGCTAACCCTGTGCTGTCCCCCTACTACATGCCGGGCCGTGTGCAGCAAGTAATGAGAAGGTAATTCTGGTCTCTTCCTTCGGGGGAGTCGGAGTCAAGAACGTGTCCCCGGGACGTGTCTACAGGCCCAGAGCCGCGGGCCCAGCTGTGTGCCGCGTCTTATTTCACCCTCTGTTCGATGCCGGAGGAAACTGAGGCTCAGGGAGCTCAGGAAACTGGCTCACACAGCAGAAGTCAGGATTTGAGTTGATCTTAACACCACGCTGTTTTCCACTCTGCCAGCTGCCTCCCCTCCACTGTGAAATCCACTCCCAATGAGCTGCCCGCATCCCCAGACACCTGCCCCCACTTTGTCTGGCTGAGAACTGCCTCCAGCGCTACCCGCCCCCGCCCTCCCTGCTGAGTGAGTGCGGCTGGCCGTGACCCTGGCTCCAGGGTACCCTCCCCGTGTGGCCCTGGCCAGGAAGAGGGGCTTGACTGGATGTGTGACTCCATGCCAGCCAGACTTGGGGGCGGGGAGCTACCCCGGAAATGGTGGATTGTACTTCTGTTATTGTGGTCTGTGTCCCTTAATTCTGTGTATTTCCATGAACGGCCTCGGGAGCTGCCGCCAGTAACTGGCCTGGGAGGGCTGAGGTCACGTCAAAAGGTCTGCCCCGGTGTAGGGCCAATCTCAGCCCTTCCAGGCAGGGATTCCCTTCTAGGGGACACTGCCTGTGGTCTCTCGGTGCTTCTCCCAGCTCCCCCACACCTCCCCGGGTGACAGCATGCCTACTCTTCAGCCTAGCCTGGGGCTGGGGCCCTTGGAGTCTCCATACCTTCTCCAGAGAGTATGTCAGTGGGGCTTTGCCCCGAGGCCTTGGCTCATCCCAGCCCAGAACCACGTAGGCATCACGGATCTCACTGGCGTGGACATTGGTCGGAGGTAAGGGGATGGTCACAAAGTCTGGAATCAGAGTCATCAAGGGGCGGAGACGGGTGGGCCGTCAGAGACCCCTCGTTTCACAGAGGAGGAAACGGGCCCAGAGAGGGGTAGGAACTTGCTCCAGGTCACCCAGCAAGGCCAGGCACAGCCAGGGGGAGAAGCCAGGTCTCCCAATATCCTCCCCAGGACTTTCCCCAACATGCTACCTCCTCTACAAGGGGCACAGCAAGATGGGCCACCGTCACCTGAGAACATTGGCCTCCTCCGACTGGACCTCACCGCCCTCCCCTCCCCACACCCCACAGGTGGGACAGCTTCTGCCTCTCTGCCAGTTTGTGTCCCAGAGTTTCCAGAACCAAAAGGAAGCTGGAATCGTGAGGCAAAGGGTTAGGAGGTTCACACGTACCTTCAAAATCATCTGTGCTGACCGTGATCTTGTTTCCCAGGTCAAAGGGGATCTCTAGGGTGGAGAATGGAGCACGTTGGGGAATGGAGCATGTTGGGGGAGAAGTAGGGGGTGCAGAGGTTGTGTGTGGCGGGGGGCTAGGGCAGGAGAGGTCAGGGCAGGACCTGCCAACTCTGGGAGCTGATTCCTCGCCCTGTTCCCAGTCCTGGCTTCTGAGCTCCTCCCTGTTTGACCTCAAGCAGGTGCTGTCTGACCCCCAGACTCTCAGGGGTCTAAAGCAGAACACTGCTGTTCTAGACCCTGAGAGGTGCTCTGTCTTCTTGGGGCAAATGGGGACAGAAGGGAAGTAATGTGTCTGGGGTCGGATTCCTAGGGCACGGCGGAGCTGGAGGCAAACCCAAGTCAGACTGACCCCTCAAGGCTGGAAGGGCAGTGGGGGGGCCCCCACCACATGCCCCCAGGCTGACAGCTCCTGAAGCAGGGCTGTTTTCCTCCTTCAGATTAAGGGCATCTGAAGAAGGTGTTGTGGTCCTTCCTCAGTTTAGCATCTCCTGTGGGCAGATTCATGTTCCTTCCATCAGACTAGCTATACCTTCCCCTTTGGGCTAGGGCTTCCTGAGGACAGCACTGCACTTCCTCCAACAGCCTAGGGGTTCCTGAGACTGTGTCTCCTCCAACAGCCTAGGGGTTCCTGAGACTGTGTCTCCTCCATCAGACTAGCAGTTCCTGAGACTGTGTCTCCTCCATCAGACTAGCGGTTCCTGAGACTGTGTCTCCTCCATCAGACTAGCGGTTCCTGAGACTGTGTCTCCCCCATCAGACTAGGGGTTCCTGAGACTGTGTCTCCTCCATCAGACTAGCGGTTCCTGAGACTGTGTCTCCTCCATCAGACTAGCAGTTCCTGAGACTGTGTCTCCCCCATCAGACTAGCAGTTCCTGAGGGCTGTGTCATGTCTCCCCCTACCCACCTTGGAACAGGGCTTGGAATGGGGGCTGTGCCACCTGTGTCCTGCATGAGGCAGTCCTCACTATGCCCTGACTGATGCTCTAGAATGTCCCTTCAGGGCCTCTGTACCCACCTTTCTTTCTCCGGGCTTCGTCATGGTCGCCCATGACAACCAGTTCTGAAGCCTTGGAGGGGAGGCTGGCACCCGCTCTGCTGACGGCTCTCACCCGGAACCGATAGCTCTGGCCTTCGATGAGGCCTTGGATAGGGCACCGGCAGGTCCCACTGGGGGCCTCGTGGCAGGGCACCCACTGCCCAGACTCGCCCTGGCACCTGTGGGAGAGAGGCCTCAGCTCCAGCCCCAGCCCATGACTCAACCTTCCCGGTGTGAGCCCCTCCGGAGGCCACTTCTCCACCCCAGACTGCCGGCCCAGCTCACTGCTGCCGGTTCCAGTCCCGCTGTCCGTTCAAAAACCTGGCTCCAACCTCGGGCCCCCAGGAGGACTCGCCACCACCCTCGACACCCTCGACAGCCAGTGCCTCCGTGCAGATTTCCCGTGTGCCTGGAGGTGCACTGCACCCTCACAGCCCTCGGTGTCAGGTGGGATTCCCTTCGCTCTACAGACGGGGGATCCACTCTGGGCTCAGACAGTGGGACAAGCCGTGAGTCATGTGGCTCGGGAGTGGCAGTTAGGATTTCACCCAAGGGCTGTCCCCAGATTTGGAGGCATGGACACCCCTCCCTAGCCCCTAAATTATGCAACCTGGTCTACCTCCTGCCCTGCTCCGAGGCCAAGCATGGGGCTCCCTCTTTCCTGTGGCCCCCACTCTTGTTGTCACAACCAGGCAGAGGTGTCCCTGGGGGCTCTGCCACTCAGGAGGCTGACTCACCGCTCGATGGAGTAGCCGGTGATGGGGCTGCCCCGGGTGTCGCTGGGCGGGGTCCAGGTCAGGATGAGGCAGTCTCTGTTCACATTCAGGCAGCGGACGTTCAGAGGGGAGCCTGGGGCCCCCGGCTTCTCGGCTGCCGCATCTGAAACCCAGAGAGGAGGGTTGGGGGGCGAGGGGAAGACGGGAAGGTTCTTCTAGTCCGCGTCTACTCGGCAACTGACCCCTCCCCCTCCCGTCCAACAACCTCTTCCGCTTGAACCCTCCAGGGCTCGGTTTTGGTTTTGAGGACCAGGACCTGCATAATGATGGTCTCCTCCTTTTGAACAACAGCATCTGGGGGGGCTGTGGGAGTGCCAATTACTAGGGGCCCATTCTACTCCAGGCCCCTGAAGGATCAGTGTAATTAATCCCTGAGCCCCGGGGCATCCCCCCATTTTGTGGACGGGGAAACTGAGCCTCAGAGAGATAAAGCGATTTGCCCGAGGCTACCCAGCTAGTGAAGCGGCAAAGCCAGGATCTGAAACCAGATCGAAGACCAAGAGGCAGAACTTACCAGGCGCTAGAGTCATTCTAGCCCATGCTCAGCCCTCCCTCCACAGCTCCCACTGAGTCTGAGACTCAGCTGTGTCCTAGGGTCACAGGATGTAACAGGGATTCTTAGAGACTCTCACTCAACACCCCTACTTATAACAGGGAAACTGAGACCCCAAGAGGGTGCAAAACTCACCTAAGGTCCCACAGCCAATTTGGTCTCTGGGCTCCAGCTACGCTTCCTACCCACCAAGCCCCTCTCACCTCTCACAAACACGTAGGCGCTCTGATCCTGGGGCCCGAAGGGCGAAGGCACCTGGACGGTATAGAGCCCCTCATCCTCCTTGTAGGCACAGGACACCTTCAGGAATGCCTGGCGGTCTGCGTAGAGGATCTGTCGGCGACCCGAGGGTCTCAGTAGTCTCCCTGAGGAGGGGAGAGGTCCAGTGTGAGCTCTGGCCTCATCTGGGAACCGTTAGGTGGTCTGGGGGTTTAGGCAGAGGCATGGCTGACGTGGCTGGAGTGGCTGTAGCCTGTGGCTTGGCTGGGGACTTGGGGAGGGGGTGGTGGCCTCCAGGGCTCTGCCAAGCTAGCCCTGAACTCTCCTCTGTCTTGGGAGCAGGGCAGGGTCCAGGGAAGGGGCCAGTGGGAATGGGAGTTTAGGGAAGCCGTCGGCGGCTCAGTGAGGCGTTGGAGGTGCTGTGAGGAAACAGGAACAGGAGAGACGGGGCCCTTTGTGAGGCCGGTGTCTCTGCGGGGCAGCTGGGGGCTCATTGTGTGTGTTGGGGGCTCAGTGGGTGGGAGCTGGAGGCTCATTGAGGGAGCCGGGGTGTCCGTGAGGAGGGCAGAGGACTCACTGAGGGGGGTAGGGTCAGTGAAGGGAGCGGGGACTCAGTTGTGTGGCTGTAATGAGAGGGATGGGGCTTCAGCGAAGGCACTCTGGGGCTCAGGGAGGGCGTCTGGCCCCGAGGCCACACTGTCGGGCCATCCTGCTCTCCATGCCTCCCTCCTGTCAGGACCTCTGTTCTAGAAGATATACAGGTTTGGGAAGACATCTCAGCCTTATTGCAACTGTTTCTCAGGGCTTCCTGTGGCTTCCCCACCCTTCCGACCCCCTGCCATCAGCAGGTGCAATCTCCCTAGGGGGGCTTGCTGGGGGCTGTTCTCCTTGACCTGTGGCTGCAGGCCTGGTCACAGGTGGGGAAGGAGGTCCTGCCATCCTTCTCCTCCCTGGCTGTCAACGGGAGTGGCTATGACTGTGCTTCAGCTTCCTCCCTCCTCCTACATGAAGAGTCCCTTGAATTCAGGCACATCTGCCCATTCCTGCCCTGGCACCCAGCACGGGGCCTGGCACCCACAGGTGCTTGCTGACCCTCTGTAGGGTGACCAGATCTGAATCCACCTGCCCTCTGTTCCTGCTTTCTTCTCCTTCTTCAGCACTCATTACTCAGCGTGTACTTGGGCAGGGGCATAGCTCAATTCCTCTCTCCCCTGACCCAGGGACCAGTGTTGGGGTGGAGCCATGGCTCTAGCTCCTCTCTGGCTTCCACGGCGGCGTCCTCACCATCTCGGTACCACTGGATGTTCTGCTCAGCATCTAACACATCATCCGAAAATAAGCAGGACAGGGAGAAGGGTTCCTTCTCTCGGGCAAAGACCGGCTTCAGCACCGATGTGAATTCCACGCTGGGGCCAAACATCAGTCCTGGGGTGGGAACAGAAGTGAGGTCAGCAGCCTTCTGAGGCCACCCGCCTAGCCCGGGACATCCCACTCCTCTGGGTCAGGATTCACAGTCTCCGAGGTGGTCTTAACGAGGAAAGAGAGGCCCGGTCCTGGAGGGTGGTGGAGGTGGGGCAGAGATTTCTCTAGGTGGGATCAGATGAAGCAAAATAGTAACTGGCCAGAGTCATGTCCATTTGTCTGTTTGGCTTTGCCTTTCTCACTCAGCTTTGGCCCCTGGACAGCTCGGCAGCTGGGGGCAGCACCTGGGGACAACGCCCCCCCTCCCCCCCACCAAGTCAATGTGCAAGTATGAACAGCTCATATGCAATGACATGCCTTTGTGGGCAATGGGTGGCTAATTGTCTAAAGGGGGCTTTGGAAGGTCTGACGAGGAGCCCAGACCCCCCCCCCCGAAGGCCGTCCCACCCTGAGCCTCCTTACTTTTAAAGATCTCCGAATCGAAGCCAGCATCCTTCCCCACGTAGGCTGAAAGTCCAAGGCAAATGGAGTTTGAGAAGGTTCAGACCTCACATTCCTACTAGATTAGAGGTGTGGGTTTGGGTGTGGGTTTGAGTCCTCCTGGTGGGAGGACCCACCTCCTGGTGGGTCCATCTTTGGCTGCTGGAAGTTCTTTCACCCCTGGGCCTCTATATGGGCCTCTATTCCTTTCTTGGTAGAAGGCAGACAGTGGTTCCTAGCTGGTGGTCCTGGGGTTCTGAGTAAGTGAGTTCACATAAACCAAGCCCTCAGCCAGAGCCTGACACATAGCTGGTGCCCAATAAATGGTGGCTTTTTCATCCTCTGCCCAAACTCACTGCCAGGATCACACAGTATTCATCGAAGCCAAGTCTGGTCGGACTGGGATTTCTGGTGCAGTTGGGGACAGTCCGCAGGGGAAGGACAGTGCTCAGAGAGCCATGTGGGGGCTCAAGGGTGAACTCCAAGGTGATGTGACACAGACCACCAGAGGAGAGTAACAGCTCTTGTTCATGTGGGGTGTCTCACGTGCCACATATTAACTCATTACATCCTCACGACACCCTGTCTGTTGATGCCGTTATCATCCCCTCATACAGATGAGGAAACTGAGGTGTAATCACCCTGCAAGTACCCCGGAAGCCTGACGCCATGAGGCAACTGGTCCCCGGTAAGGCCCTTCCTGAGTGAGTCCTGGAGAGGGTCAGGAGGCTGCCCAAAGTCACACAAAGTCAGCGACAGACTCAGGATTAGAACCCAGAGCTCCTACCCCCCAACCCAGGGTCTTCTATCAGTTGCTATGGAGACGACAGCCGGGAAGGGGGTGGGAATGACCGTGAACGGGTGCTCCTAGTAGGTGTCTGGCTGGAGTCTGGGGGCCAAGAAGCTGAGTGGATCCTAGGGTTGCTGGCCTTGAGGGAGGGAGGGTTGGGGGTCTGGAAGAAGTGATGGGAAGGATGGGTGGACAGAGGGAGGCAGGGCCCTGATGCCTGACCTTGGCTTGACTCTAGGCACAGCCTGTAAGGACAGCTCAGATTCTGCAGCCAGCCAGACTGGCAGAGGGGACAATTGCCACCCAAGATCTATTTGGGGAACAGGGCAGAGGGGTGGAGAGGGCTGTGAAGGACAGTTTAACAAGGTCTGGTGAGAGGCAGGGAGGGGGACTGGACTCCAGCCTGTCTACTGACCAGGGAGTGTGTGTGTGTGTGCGTATGTGTGTGCACGCACATGCTCACACATGCAGCCTCTCTCTCAGGGCCCTGAAGGCAAGGCAGCATTCTCCTGGGCCCAGAGCTGTGGCTTCCTGGGTACATGCTGCCCTGGTCATGGGGTGGGGGACACAGTTATCCCTTCCCAAAGCCTCCTACACGCCACGCTTTACCTATACCGTCGCATTTAATCAGCCTAAGCACCTGAGCCATGTAGAAGGCGTCCCCCTTACAGGCCCGGCGGCTCAGAGAAGTGGAGTGAGGTGGCCCAGGCTCACTCAGCCAGTCAGTGGCAGAGCCAGCATATGGACGCGGGTCTGGCTGACTCCTGAGTGTCTCCCCTGCTTTACGCTGTCATTTCAGACGCCCCCGGGGGAACCTCCAGGATTGGGAATCACACCAATTGGGAACTGCACAACTGGGAAATATGCACCAGCACCCAGATGGGGCAGTGAGGTCAAGAGGCGAGTTGGTAGGGCTCAGCCTTTCCCCCTGAGGACCCCTCAGGAGAGCTGGCAGGGCCAGGCCACTCTTCCAGGGGTCCTGAGTTAGATCCGGACCCGAGTCCCACCTAACAAGATGAGCACGCTCTTTGGACACTGTGCAGTCTGAGGGAGGCGACTCTCACTTGCTCCGAAGGCCCCAGGGAAGAGAGTCTCTGTGGCTGCCCAGGTCACCTGATCCCAGGTGACCCCCGTGTCAAGGGCCCTTCCTCAATCTGACCACAGGCACACGTCCTCGTCTGCTCATCCCGGGTTTGCTGTGCGCCAGCCTGGCCGGTTGGAATGGGAATACTTACTTCGGACGAGGACCTTGGCGAAGGAGGAGGCCTGGCCGTATGCATTCTTCACCTTCACTGTGTAGGTGGCTGCGTCCTCAATGGTGCATCTGAAAAGGAGAGAAGACACCCCCCCGCCCCAAGATTGCTGGGCTCCATCGGAAATTCAAGTCCCCACGTATGGGTAGGAAAGGCGGGGATTAACACGAAGCCCTCGCAGGGGAGACTTTAGGCTTTAGTTCAGGCCCCACCTCTGCAAAGCTATGTGCCTTTGGGCTAGCCACTGCCCTTTGGCATGTCTCAATGTCCTTCTCTGAAAAACTAGGGACATAACACCAGCCTAGTCCACCTCAGGTGAAAATATGATTGTTATTACTGACTGTGTAAGATCAGAGAGGTTAAGTGACTTGCCCAGAGTCACACAGCACCCAGAATTCAACCCAGCTTCAAGGTGACAAGCTCTCTTACAAGGCATAGTCTCCTGCCCTGTCAACACCTCCAAATCAGAATCCTGGAGCAGCAGCAGGGCACGGACTTGCCCAGGGCATACTGCCAGGCGGTGCCAGAACTGGGCCAGATGCCCAGGTGTTCTCAATCTCAGGCCTGGGTCTCATCACCAGTCAGGCCAACCCTGTCTGGTTCCCAGCGGAGCTTGGGCTGGCTCCATTCCAGAGCCACGTGGTGACAGAGTCATCGGTAGGACGTGGCACATCTGGTCCCATAAGCAAGCCGAGGGCTCCTGGGTGTCCCCGCTCTTACCCTGGCTGCACGGGGCAGGAATCCCTCTTGCTTCTGGAACCAGTCCCGCCTGCCCCTCCAGGCAACCCCAGCCCTGCATGCCTTCCCTGACTGTACAGCCCCTGGGGCACGTCCCTTTGTGGCACTGAGTGGTCAGACATTTACGTCCACGCATCCCCACTTTGCTTCTGCAGGGTAGGATCGATGTCCTGTCCACAGTCGTATCTCTGAAGTCCAAGTTGGCTGAGATGGAGGGACTGGCGTACTGGAAAGAACCCAGGTGGAGAGAACGGCCTCCAACCCGGGCCCTGCCCTGCACGAGCCGTGCAAGACCCCTGACCCTTGGAGCCTGGATTTCCTGTCCCGTAACATGGACATAACAATGCCTCCCTTCAAGAACAGCGGTGGGCATTATCAATCGTATGCGCACAAACCTAGCGCAGGGCTCAGCACCGGAGGCCACCACGGGGCAGCTCGTGTGAGCACTGTAGCGCCTGCTCTGGGGAGGACTGTGCTCAAATCCCCCGACGGCTTCCCTCCATGCACGCTGCGTCTCCCTCTAAAACCATGCTTACGGCTCACCATCTCCTGATCGGCCCACCTAACTGCTTCCTCTTGTACTCGTGCGTGCGCGTGCACGTGCGTGCGTGCGTGCGGGGACGTGTGATTTCCCTCCTCCAGCGAGGAGCGCCCCCAGCATTCCTAGCTCATCACTCAGTCCTTCCGGCTGGCCCCTGATTCCACGTTACTTCTCGTGTATTACAGGCATCAGAATCACGCGGGACTGTCTGCCAAATACCAATCCCCAGGCCCCACTCCAGATTAAGACGTCCTTAATCTGCCTCCTGGGAGGCAAGAGGAGGGTCCCTCCCGCGAATCAGTGTTTTCATAAGCACCCCAGGTTCTTCCGAAGGTGAGGCCGACTCAGAAATCCTGCTCTGGCTTCGGTGCTGGTGGGGTCTGGGGGTCATGGGTCTCTCTAGACCTCACAGTCTCACCTCCTGATCTCCAGCGTCAGCAGCCCATAGTTGTTGGTGATTCGGTACTTTCCCGCGGGGAAGAGGCGGGGATCGATTCGCATGTCGTTTTTGTACCTGTGGAGACACGGTGGTCTGTGGCAGGCTGGGTGGCTCTGAGCGGGAAGGATCTGGAGCCTCTCAGACCTGGATTCCAACCTCAGCTTTGTGCTCTTTACTTGCTTATGTGACCCGAGGCATCACTTTCACTGCACGGAACCTCAGTTGTCCTCATCTGTGAAATGGGAGTAATGAGAGCACTGACCCTCAAACGGGAGAAGATATGCAAAGCTTTTCTCCTGGGCCCTGGGTACTATAGATGCTCCTGGGAAGCAGAGAAGAGGGAACCTGTAATTAGGGGTAGCTGCCCCTTCCCCTACCAGAGGTACCCCCGGGGACCTGGGCCCAGCTTTTTCCTCCTCTCTGAGGGTGTTGCCAAGGAAAGTGCCCCCATTTCTGCCTCCCTCATCAACCTCTCAGGATGGCAATTCTGTACTTGGCGGTCATTATAATCACCGGAGAGAGCTTTGAAAATCTCCATGCCCAGTTTCTGAACACAAGGCTTGGGAATTCGTATCAGGAGCTGCTCATTGGTCTCCAATAGCCGTTCCCCCTTATTCTAAAGGAACAGGATTCATCACTGGGCCACCCAGTGTGTGACATATTTCCTACCCTCTCTTTCTACTAGGTGTGGCCATGTGACTAAGTCCTGTAAAGGAAGTACAAGTGTCACAAGGCTGCTATCGATGACGCTTTGTCCCCTTTTCTGTCATTTTCCCCTCCATCCTACACCAAGAACGTGGCCCAGGTGGCCGGCATCTCGCATCGGGAAAGACTGGGGCTGCCGGAGTCCCTGAGGGATCTGTGAGCAAAGTCGCCATGGCCGCCCCACCCTGTCTACATCAGGCTCGCAGGTGAAAGAAAAATAAACTTCTTATCTTATGTCAGCCGTTAAAAAAAAATCTCCATGCCCAGGCTGCATCTCAGATCACTCTGGAGTCAGAATTTCTGGGGTGGGGCCCAGGCCAGAAGTATTCTTTCAACTCCCCATGTGACTGCCAAGGGTGGCCCAGCGGATTGCCCCAGCCCACTGCACCCTGGACACGGCCCTATGTTTTCTGTGGACTCTGGTGTCTTGTTCTCCCTGCTGTGGGCACTGGACTGTGAGGTGGCCTCGCCTCTGTCCACAGCCCGTTGCAGGGGTTTGGAGGCCTAAGGGGTCAGGGCTGGCACGTGAAAGTCTGTGAAGGCTGGGAGGCCTGGGTTCTTGACACAGCTGGCTGTGTGACCTTGGGCAAGTCAGTCTCCCTCTCTGGGTCTCTGGGTCAAGAGGCTGCTGCATGGACAGTCAGCCCCCGTGGTGGTTGAGCTTGAAGAGCAGGCTGAAGCCGAGAGAGGGCGCCCCGGCCACAGTCCGACACCTTCCTGGGGCCTGGCTACCCCCGCACCCTGTTTGTGCCCATGGCAACCAAACAGTGCCACACCCACACCCCATCACACAGCCCCTGGGCTGCACCCTCTTCTGAAAGGAGCCCAACTAAGTTTCCTTTGGGGAGAGCAGTGCCTAATCTCGGTACCCAATCTTTTTCCACCTCTCCTAAGCCTGGGGGCCAAAGTCAGGTTTGCCCACCCCCCACCTATCAGGAACTTTCCAGACACCTGGGCCCGGCCAGCTTCCATCTTTCCCAGAAAAAAAAAAAAGCAGCAGCTGCAGCTCTGGGCAAGGCCTGGACAGCCAGAGACCTCAGCGCCCATCTTGCCCTCTCTGGGCTCTGGGCTCCTGCCTGAACGACAGGCCCTCGAAGGCATGGGCTGTGCAGATCTCACTGTAAATGGCAGCCAGTCATAAAACAGCATTAAGTGAGACAACAGAGGCCAGGCGCCCAGCCCAGAGCCTGGCTCAGAGAGGCCCTCATAAAAGAGTGAGATTTTTATTCTTTCTCTAAATGTTCTTTCTTCGCATACTTTGGTATTGGATTTTACTTTTTAAGGCTGCTTGCTTGGCCTGGGAGACGGAGTCTGGTATCAGATAGAATCATGGCCAGGGCCCATGTCTGCAGAGTTAACATGGCTAGACTGGGCTTTGCCTAACTTGTCCTGCTGGTGCCCCTGCATTCAGGAAGTGCTCAATGATTGCTGAATGAATGTACTTGCCTGACCAACCCGGTGTGCCAGGATCTTCCTCTTGAGCTGGGGGCTGGGTGTCTGCCGGGGCCTGGACAGAGCCCCGGAGGCCAGTCCCAGGACAGTGAGTGGCCCTGCCCAAAGTGATCGATGATGAAAAACCAGACCCCCCAAACCAGGAGCACCAGGGGCCACCCGAGTCCCTCCTGCTGGAGGTGGGCCTGGCCTTGCTTCCAGCACTTACCACGCTCAGCTCCCTGTTGTGGCAACATTGCTGGGGGTGGAAATGAGTCCCTTTCCTGAGAAGCTCCCACGGAATGCCTTAGATATGGGCCTAAGTGCCAGGGCAGGGCAGGGCTTGGCTGCCAGGCAGGACAGCTGAGGTACTGAACCCCCCCCCCCCCCCCCCCCCC